GCCTGAAACAGGTTATACATTTTCGAACAATTGACTTAGCCAAATTTCTTCCACCTAAAGGCCAATAATTTTGTCGAATAGAGGCTAATAGCAGCTGAGGTCCAGCGAGGAAATGCCTTTCATGTAACATTCGGAACAAAATTTTAGTAAAATTGCATGTTTTGTATTGTAGTCGTAATGAGAATTTTCGAGTCTGCCGCCTACACGAATGAGATCGTTAGAATCTAAAAAGGGTGTCAGAGACAGTAGTCTGTTTTTCTTAGGCAAAGGATTTCCACCTTTAAGAATTAGATACTCCCTTTGAAACATTTCCGACTGTGCGGCATGCAAAATCAAATTTAGTGATATTTGTAGCTCATGGCACGTAATAGAACCTTTAATTCTATTGGTTTTATTTTTTAAATTGTTAATAAATCTAAGTATACAAGCAACTACTCTTTGTAAATGATTAAAGTTGGAATTTTTATGAATTAATTGCAATATGATTGAGTTAGAATTGACTTTATGAATTGATGTAATATGAACTAATGAAACGTTTCTAACTACTTCTGGTAAATCTTGTTTCACGTGAGGCGATTTAGGCCACATGGATTGATCTTGTTTTAAAAATGATGGTCCGTTCCACCACAACTCGTTATCGTTGATTTGGTCAGCGTTCAACCCCCGAGAAACAAGATCCGCCGGATTGTCTTTAGACGGTACGTAGCTCCATATACAATCTGATGTACTTTCTTTTATTTCATTTATACGATTAGCAACAAACTTTTTTAATTGGGCTACGGGCATAGACAACCAACCAAGCACTATTGTAGAATCGCACCAAAAAAAAACACTTATCAATCGGTAGAGTAATCGATTCCTTGACCTTGGTACGCAGTCTTGATCCTAGTAAAGCTCCGCAAAGCTCGAGTCGTGGAGTTGTTGTTGGTTTGATAGGTGCTACGCGACTTTTAGACGTAAGCAAACGAACCGTGACCTCATCGCTAGTGATCGAGCGTACGTATAAGCATGCACCGTAAGCTTTCTCCGATGCGTCTGAAAATATATGAAGTTCATTGACCATTGAATTATAACAAGAAACCCAACGAGGTATTTTTAAATTATTTAAATATGATAAAGATTTGATAAATATAAACCAAGATTCCTGAATAAATGCAGGCACGTCATCGTCCCATTCAAATTTATTAATCCATAATTGTTGCATCATTATTTTTGCTTCTATGACGCAAGGACTAACTAAACCTAAGGGGTCGAAAATTTGACTAACTACTGAAAGAATATGTCGCTTTGTTGTTCTCACCGGCTGTTCGTACTTAATTGAAAATGTTAATGTGTCGGATTCACACAACCAATTCAAGCCTAGAGTTTGGGAAGTGACATTTGTTTGTTTTTTAGAAAAATCGAATGTACGAGTAGTGTCGTTTACTGCATTGTTGCTATCGGTAAGTTGTACTAATATTTCCTTACTATTCGACTGCCATTTACGCAAGTTAACTTGGCTTGAGCGAGAATCGATATGACTTCCTTACATATTTCAACAGTAGAAGATATAGAGTGAGATCCACAGAGAAAATCATCAATGTAGAAATCACGTTTTATAGCAGTTTGTGCATCGATATTTGTAGCTTGATCCGCTAGGCTAACCAAACATTTCGTGGCTAAATATGGCGCAGAAGCAGTACCGTACGTTGCCGTATTTAAAGTGTACGTTTTAAGGGGCTCTGATGGATTGGCGCGAAAGATAATACGTTGCAAGGAACGCTGGTCAGCATTAAGTAAAATAGCGCGGTACATCTTCTCGATATCTCCTGAGACTACTTAACTGTGTTGTCGAAAACGCAGTATAATAGACAGGAGATCATCTTGGACGGTTGGCCCTACCATTTGGAGATCATTGAGCGATAGACCTGTAGTGGTTTTAGCGGACGCATCAAAAACTGTTCGTAACTTAGTGGTCATACTTGACTCACGCACAACACCATGGTGGGGTAAAAAATAATTAATTTTACCATTAGATATGGATTCGTGTGTGTCTCGTGACATATGCCCTAAACTTTCATACTCACTCATGAAGTCTACGTATAGTTTTTTGAAACTAGGGTCCTTTTGAAACCGTTTTTCTAGAGAAAGAAATCGACGCCTTGCCATCTCGTATGAATCACCCAACCTATCAGGATTCAGAAGAGGCATTGTAACGACAAAATGGCCAGAACTGTCGCGAAGTGTATTTTTATAAAAATCTTCCTCACAAGAACGTTCTTCGAGCGATAGCGTATGTTTAGGAGAGATTGTGTCCAACTCCCAAAACCTAGTTAAATCAATACCTACATCTATGGATGAATAATTGCAAAAATGGGAATTTGTCGTGTGTGGCTGAACAAAAACGGAGCCTGACACTATCCAACCTAACTTTGTTTCATATAATGTAGGCTGTTTTTTCCCAAGGCATATTCTATTGCAACCTACAACTTCCCAAAAGACTTCCGCCCCTACCAACAAGTCTATGACAGACGGAACATGGAAAGTTGGGTCGGCCAAACGTAAACCAGTAGGGATTGGTATATTGTTTATATTAATAGATACCGGTGGCAACCGTTGTGTAATTTCCGGTAAAATAATACATTCTATTTGTCTAGAATAACCACCATTTAGCGACTCAAAAGTAAGAAAGCAAGACTGTGTACTAATACTTTGTTGGTTGTTTATACCTGTTACCTTGGAGCTCGTGCTATGCCTAGACGACCCCAGATCCTCGCATAGACCCGCAGTAAGAAAATTGGCCGTACTGCCGTTGTCGAGTAGCATGCGCACCTCTTGTTTCTTCCCGCTGGAGCTCACCACTGTCACCAGCGCTGTGGATAGCAAAATAAAGGCTTGCGAAGTAGTCTGTTTGACATAAGCGTTAGCTGATAACGCAACATTTTCAGCAGGGCCTGGCATAGGATTTACAATACGAGTCTCATTTTTATCCAAATGTAAAAGAGTATTATGCTTTACTTTACAATATTTACAATGAGCCAACAATTTACAACGTTTCTGACTGTGACCAGGACGTAAACAGTTAATACAAACATTAAGGTCATAACCCGTGCGAATACGTGATTCAATTGATAAACCTTTAAATACATCACATGTATAAAGATAATGATTATTTGTACATAAAGGGCATTTCAGTGTACTAAATTTATTTAAATGTTTACTTTTACTTTGTTTACTAAGACTATCTGTTACAATAAAGCTTTTTGATTTGTTACTATTTTCTGATTTGATTATTTTCTTATGTTCCTCTAAAGTTTCTAACAGGTCTGCCTTATCCCCTAAAAATTTACAAAAGTGAGTAAGTGTTGGGGTACCGCTGATGGAGTTGCTGTTTCCAGCGGCCCACCTGGATCTTATTTGGGTACTTATATTTTTGAGATGCTCTAAGTAGGGTTGTAATGGCGCATCTGGTTCAAAATAAAAGGAGACGAGTGTCACCTCCCAGGATTCCGTTTGTATACCCACCACTGCAAAGTTGTTTGTAGTAAGGTTTGGGTACGGCTTGACTCTCAGGTTCGGGTCAAATACTGCGATTGCCGCTTTCACCGTACCCTCCCCGCGGTTTGTGTTCTGGAATATGCGCACTCCCCGGTGACTCCTCATCTCCTTAGCACCTCCTACATATGGTTCCTGGAGCAGGGCTACCGTGACTCTCCTCTTACTTGCCTCAAGTAGCACCTCATTTGTGGCTAGCTTTTTCCGCTGGAGGTTCGCTTAAATTACGCGGTAGGGGGTTTTGCCGCCCTCGGCTGTGTCAGCAGTAGGCTACTGCCGACCGGGCGAGTCTATCCCACTTTTTCCTTGTTGGGCACGCAAGGTCGAAGGCGTTATGGTGGGTGTTTTCAAGTTGTGCCTTGGTGCAGTTTCGGCAGCATGGTGTCGCCCCCGCAAGGCGATCTGCGCAGTCCTTACCAAGGTGTGGGCCACCGCAGTGACCGCATAGATCCACCGTCTCCCTGCAGAATCGCTTTCCATGCCCGAAGCCCAGGCAGCGTGTGCATTGGACTAATGGGTTTGGTCTTCAATCCTAATTCGCTGGAGGTCGATACGTAGCGACCCGATTCTGAGAGCTTTTCCCCAGATAGCGGGTGACACACTTACCACTACATGGCATGTGTGGGGGTTTCTCGCCCTCCTCCTGTACTTTATCGTAACCCTGTCTTCCTCCTGTTCCAGGCCATGAAAAACCTCCCCGTTCTGGTTCCGGAGTGCTTTAATAATATCCTCATCCGTGTTCACTGACAGAACGTCTCTGAAGATCAGTAATGGGTCCTTATTTTTCATGTCCTCGACCAGGAGGCAGGTGCCGTCCTTCTCCAATCTTTCTCTGGCCTTACTCCTCTACTCCTTAGAGCCAAAGCCCAGGATCACCTTCCTGTCCTTTGCTTTCCTGACCCTCTCCACCTTTATCCAGCCTTCTTTCGCATTTACCACCTGTCTTACTTTGTTTAAGACCTCTTCTCCAGTTTCTGTTTCTTCTCTGGAGGTCACTACCATTGAATGCATGGTGCTTCTTATGGGCGTTTTTTGTGTATTCGTTGTGTGGCTGGCGACGGCTTGTGCGTAGGAGGTGGTTGACTCTTGCCCAGTGCGTTCCTTCATCTGTGCTTCGAGAGCCTTTTCCAGGTCGTTCTTTTTTGCTATGTGCTCTTGAATAGCCCTGGTATGATCTCTCATTGCTGCACCAAGTTTCTCTTCACGGTCTGTTTCTTCGATTTGATCATCCTGTGGTGTTGTTTCTAGGTCCCTCTTTTTGTTCTCCCCTTCTTTGACCAGTTTGTACAGTTTTTCGACCACCACTGTGACTTCTGATTTTATGTCCTTTCGTATATTACCAGATTGGCCTAGTAGTATTTTGGCTTTAGTCACAAGGGCTTTGGCCTCGGCAGTTCTTGAGGTGTTTTTAATTTTTTGCGCTGGCGGCGAATAGATTAGTACTTCCGTGGAAGCCCTGCGCGTCGTTACTGTTCTGGTCTCGGGAGGGGGGTTTTTAACTTGAGTTTTAATGGAGCACTAGGAGGTATTTTATTTGGTGACTTGTTGGGCGATGGTGAGGCGGGGTGTGCTGGCGACGTTGAGGGTCCCGCTTTAGCGGATTCCACGCTCGCAGCCCCAGGGGAGGCCACCGCTGCCTTCTTCGCTGGTGTCCTATGTAATACATGGCGATGTCACAATATTCTAAGTCAGTGTATTGTAGACTGACTAAGTGAAGGCAATAGATCAGAAACAGGTTGCTGTAATGACCTAGGTTTAGTCAAACTTAAAGGAAAGTTGTGTCTCGTGTCTATGCAGACACCTTCCATATAATAAAACTTCTTGATTGTAATTACATATGTGAATTTATTATAGTATAAGACCAGCGACAGCTTTCGAGTACAAGAAGAAAGTGGGTGGGAGACCCTTGTCGGTCCTATTTATATACATTTATTTGATACGTAAACTAATTATAAACACCGTCACGATGTTATAAAAACCGTCACGATGATGAGCCTGATGTATTTGTTGCTCATTAAGTGCGCACTGTGATTGCCAGCTGTAGTAAGTTAGGCGTGGCCTTAACACTACGAAATTGTTGTTGGTAAGGCTCGGATACGGTTTGACCTTCAAGTTTGGGTCAAATACTGCTATGACTGCTTTCACTGTACCCTCCCCGTGATTTGCATTTTGAAAAATGCGTACTCCCTGGTGACTTCTCATCTTTTTGGCCGCGCCTACGTATGGCTCCTGCAACAGAGCTACCGCGACTCTCCTCTTTCCTGCCTCAATCAGTACCTCGTTTGTGGCTAGCTTTTTCCGCTGGAGGTTAGCTTGGATTACGCAGTATTGTGTTTTGTTGCCCTTATCTACGTTAGCAGTAAGCTACCGCCGACCGGGCAAGTCGAGCCACTTCTCCTTATGGGACATTCGGAGTAAAAGGCGTTGTGGAATGTGCTCTCAAGTTGCGCCCTTGCGCAGTTTCGGCAGCACGGCGTCCCCTTGGCAAGTCGATCCGCGCAGTCCTTGCTCAGATGTTGACCCCCGCAATGGCTGCACAGATCCACCTCCTCCTTACAAAAGCGCTTTCCATGGCCGAACCCCAGGCAACGCGTACACTGGACCAGTGGTGACTGGTCCTCTACCCGGACTCGCTACAGTTCGACGTGCAGCGACCCTGTCTTAAGGGTTTTCCCATAGACGGTAGGCGACACACCAATCACTATGTGACAGGTGTGGGGGTTCCTGGTCCTCCTCCTATATTTTATTACGACCCTGTTTTCCCCCTGCTCGAGGCCGCGAAAGACCTCCCCGTTCTGATTCCGGACGGCTTTTATTACTTCGTCGTCCGTGTGAATTGACAGCACATTTTTGAGTATTAGTAACGGGTCTTGGTTCTTCACTTCCTCGACCAGGAGGTGGGCATCGTTCCTTTCCAGCTTATCCCGGGCTTTCTGTCTTTCCTCCCTGGTGCCGAAGCCCAGAATCACCTTTCTGTCCTTTGCTTTCCGGACCTTCTCTACCTTCACCCAACCCTCCTTAGCGTCTACCGCCTTCCGGACTCTAGGTAGAACCTCGTCTCCGGTCTCCGTGTCCTCTTTCGATGTTACGATTATGGAGTGTATGGTTCTCTTGCCAGGTGTTCTGGGCGTGTCCGTTCCATAACTGGCGACAGCTTCCGCGTAGGAAAGGGGGGGTTACTCTTTCTGAGTTTTCCTTCTTCTGTTCTTCAAATGCTTTTTCCAGGTCTCTCATTTTCTGGGTATGTTCCTGGATGGACCTCGCGTGTTCCATTATTACCTCCTTTAATTTCTTCTCAGTTTCCTTTTCCTCTGTTGTCTCTTCCTGCACCTAAATTTCCGGCCCCTTCTTTTTGCTCTCCCCTTCCTTAACCAGCTCAAACAGCCTATTCAGCGCCGTCGTGACGTCCATCTTGATGTCCTTCCTGAGGTTTCCGGACTCGCCCATTGAGTTTTTGGCTTTCGTCACAAGGGCTTTAGCCTCGGCGGTTCTTGTGGTGTATTTGTTGGCTGTAGTTCTTGCCACTGGCGGCGACTGTGTTTGCGCCTCCGTTGACATTCTGCGCATGTGTGTCTTGGTTTCGGGTGGGGGGGGGGGACTACTCTACATTTAGTGACTGTTTTTGTTGAGGCGCTAGGAGGTAGTTTGGTTGGCGATTTTGTGGGTGTTGTTATTGGCTCTGGTTGGCCTGTTTCCCATTCGCCGATGCTGCGCCTCACCTTGGTGGTCTGGCTGAAGCTGAAGCCTCCAAAATGACTTCATCACCAACACTGCCCAGTGTTGGTGATGAAGTCATTTTGGAGGCTTCAGTGTTTTCGGCCCCAGCAGAGGTGCCTGCTGCCTTTTTTGCGGGCGTCCTATGGAGGTACATGATGTTGTCACGTTTTCGTTCAGTGTGTTGTAAAGGGACACACTTCACGGGTTTGGGTAAAATTTATTTTAATTAAATTTGTGGCTGTTTATGGTATGCCGCCTCAACGCTATGATGTTACCCAACAGGAACAGGTTACTGCGATCTAGATTAGTCAAAGTTTAAAAGCGAAAGTCTTGTCAGAAACGAATCAATGTTCACAGTTTTATAAACTTTTGCTCTATGTAGAGCAAGTATCCTAAAATTATTCACCTTGTACCATTAAAGTACAAATAATATACACAATTTTAACACAATAGAGTAATTCTACTCTATGTCGGGCTATTCGTCTCTGTACAACAGAGTCGTCAGGTTCTGGGATGTATAGTCCCTGTCCCTATAAGTCAAATTGCGAAAATATATTACAAGTCTAAGGGATGTATAGTCCCTGTCTCTAAACTAATAGCTAAAACTAATAAAAACTAATAAATGTTGTGTACGAATAAGCCACTGTCAAGTTCAGGGTGGGATATGTGGGTCGGTTACACAGTAGAGCAAACCTCCGGGGTCAAAATACACGTAAAACTATTTAAAATATATATATATACACAAGAGAAAAAATGAAGATTTTTAGACTCTATGTAGAGCCTTATAAAGTCAACAGGCTTGTAGCCCTCGCCGAGCCCTTTCAGATAACCCCAAACACGGCCCCACTGCTCCAAAGGGGTCCAGAGGGGGAGATGATTAAAATTTTTGGTTATTTCCAAGATGGCTGCCTTATTTTTGGTTATTCCCCGTTTCTCTGGAACCGGTGGGCCGATTTTGCCCGTGTTTGGGTTCACCTGGCTCAGTCCGTCAAGATCTATCTCTTGGTGGCCAATTTAACCCCCCAAATTTTTGGACCTCCGATTGCCCAAAAGCTACTGAGTTGTATACAGTAGGGGGCGCCAAGGCACCGGGAAGAAACCCCGACCCGCTGGGATGACGCGTGCCGGAGATATAGGCTGTTAAAGTTTTTCAAAATGGCCGCCTGTTAAAGTTTGGACGGCCGTCTCTCCGGCTCTAATCGCCCCAGAATACTCGAGCTTGGACTCCCCACAAATGCCCCGACCTCCCCTACGCCCTGATCTGGTTTTCAGGCCCTGAAATTTCAGGAGCAGGTAGCCAAGGCCTCCCAAATAGCTACAGCGAAAACCGCAAACTCGTAGCTTGAGCGGTTGTGGAGTTATGGCCGTCTGACCCTAAACAAGATGGCCGCCGAGCTGTCAAACTATAACTTTGGAAGCCCGTTTCTCCGCAACCCGTGGTCGTAGAGAGTCCGGGTTTCCTCCAGACAGCTCAGAGTCACCTCGGCTTCCTTGCCAATATAGTTTTAGAACAAAAAATTTTAATGTGGCTAATCTGGCCAAAAGTATACTAATTGCCTAAAGGGGCGTTTAGGGCACCAAACAGCGAAAACCCCGAACCGCTGCGACCTTCCAGTCCGGAGCTACGGTCAATTGAAATTTATAACTAAAATAACAAAAATGGCGGATTTTACGAAATTCGTCAATTCTAGCCCTAGGGGCACCGAATTTGGGTTTATACAAGTCCAAATGGGCTATATAGACCCGGCCCCGCGGTCAGAATCGAAGAATTTCTACCTGTTTTAATTTAATTTACAAAAACACAAAAAATCTTGTATCTCCGGATTGGCACGGTATAAAAATACACAAAAAATCTTAAAAATAGTCCTAAATTTTTTCTAAAAATAACACATAAAAATTTTTCTATTTCTAAAAATTTTCGTTTTTCAATTGTTGGATCACAAAAAATTTTTCTTTTCGCAGAAAAGGGGATGGCACGATGAGATGTTCCTGTGGTCCAATTTTCAGCCTCCCCGCTAGCCTCCTTCGTGATTTGGTCGCCACGTGGGAAATGGAAAAAATGTTTTCCTACTTCCGGGGCGCGCGTCCGGGTGGATTTGAAGGCTGCGGCGTATGGGGGCACACTTGGCCCACCTCTTGGCACCTTTTTTCAGCTCCTCACTTCACTATTCACTCGGTTATGGACAGAAGTTAAAAAGTTTATACAAAAATAACCTCAAAATTTGTGGTTTTTCACTAATTGTGCTTCACTGACACTTCACAACTTAACAAGTGATATGTCGCCGTGAGCGCCTAGCAAATGCGCAACTTTTGGCATATCGCACGTCACTGTAGCACTGAAAAAACCCACGAAAACGATTTTTTTAAAGCGGGAGCGAGTATAAAAAGCACGTGTTCTCGGGCGTGGCGCGATTCGTACTGGTTTTTTTTTTTTTTTTTAAATTTTTTTCGTGCCTCCTCCTCTAGTGCAGGCATGACAGTGGCAATAACCTTCCCAGGTACGCCGTCCGCCGCTTCCCAGGCCCGGGGCGCGACCGGAGTGCCAGTATCGCGGCCCCTAACTCGGCGTCGTCCACGGGAGGTACTGCCCCTTCGTCTGCCGGCACCTGGTTTGATGGTGCTGCCATCCGCGGCGGGACCCACTCTTCCCTCGCAGGGAAGAGGGATCTGACCACTCGGTCCAGAAAGCGCGGCTCGAGAGTTCTGGAGCCCCACGCTGGAGCAGTTGCGGCACCGGGGCTCCGACTCCACCCCGACCACCTCCCACAAGTACTTGGCAAAACAGCCATGACCCGTGAGGAGTTGGGTGAGGTGGTATGTCGGAGTCTCATGACCCCTCTCCACCCACTGACGCGGGACCGGCCGAACGGCCCCTACGAGCACCGACCCGCTACGGGTCGCCTCTAACCTCTCGGCCCATTTCCGGAAGAGATCATCGCGAGCCGACTGTCTCCAGCGATCGATCTCCTCCGGAAGCGGCCGACCTCCAAGTACACGCCGCATCAGGGCGCCCTCGACGTACACTCGCTTGAGGACGCCGGCCTCGAGATCCCAGGGGATACTGCCCGCGATCAGACACGCCGCCTCGTAAGAGACGTTTGTCGCGATATTCGCCGGGCTTGAGGGCTTCCGCCCATATGGGCGCTCCGTAGAGCGCCTTGGAGCGCACCACTCCGTCATAGAGACGGCGGCAGGCAGACCCCGGGCCTCCGCTGTTGGGCAGCAGACGCGAGAGCATTCCGGCAAATGCCAGCAGCTTCGGTGCCAATTGCCGGAAATGCTCTGTGAACCGCCACCGACTGTCGAGAACGAGCCCGAGATATTTCAGGCTGTTCCCGACAGCGATGGGGATGCCGCCCACCACAATCGACCTATCTCGAGGCGGCGTCTGTCGAGGCCCGTGGAAGTAGATGGCCTCAGACTTTTCCAGGGCGACTGTTAAGCCGAGCGCCCCGATGCGACGCACTACATGAGCGACGCCTGCCGTGGCAAGTACGGCGGCGTCGCGGAATGTTGGGGCCCGCGCGGTGACTAGGGTATCGTCGGCGTGACAGAGTACGCCGACTCCCCGAAGATTAGCACCGCGCAGGACCCAATCATAGCCTACGTTCCACAGGAGCGGCCCAAGGACCGACCCCTGTGGAACGCCACAAGACATGTCCCTGCGGACCACCCCACTTTGGGCCGGGTAGATGATGACCCGGTCCACGAAGTAGTCCGCAAGGACGCGCCTGAGGTACCACGGGACATTGTGGTACCTCAGCGCCTCCGCAATGGTCTCCTAGGGGAGGGTGTTGAAGGCGTTGGCTATATCCAGCGACACAGCCAACACCACCTCACCCCCAGAGACCGCTTCGTCGACGCTGTCCCGCAGTCGGGATACTGCGTCGATTGTCGACCTCCCGCGACGGAAGCCGAACTGGCCATCGCTCAGGTTGGGCCCCGCCCCCTCCAAGTGGCCGACGAGACGTGCAGCGAGCACTCGCTCAAAAAGCTTGCACATCTCGTCGAGCAGAACGATGGGGCGGTAGGCCGACGGCGACTCGCCTGGTCGCCCGTGCTTTCTGAGCAGCACGAGCTTGCCGGTCTTCCATCGTCGCGGGACTCTTCCCGACGCCAGGCATTCCGACATGAGGGACAGCGTCTCCTCCTCTAGTGCAGGCATGACTGTGGCAATAACTTTCCCAGGGACGCCGTCCGGGCCCGGGGCGCGATTCCTGGACCGGAGTGCCAGTATCGCGGCCCCTAACTCGGCGTCGTCCACAGGAGGTATTGCCCCTCCGTCTGCCGGCACCTGGCTTGATGGTGCTGCCATCCGCGGCGTTAGCCACTCTTCCCTCGCAGGGAAGAGGGATCTGACCACTCGGTCCAGAAAGCTCGGCTCGAGAGTTCTGGTGAGGGGAGGCGCCCAAGGCCGGAGTTTCTGACTCACAGTCTTGTACGGGCGCCCCCACGGATCTCGATCCAGGCTCTCGAGCCACTCTTTCCAGGCCTCGTCTTTGGCGGCTTTGATAGCCGAGCTGAGGGCCTCGCGGGCGGCCCGGTACGCGGCATGCAATTCTTCTTCGCGGGCGAGGTCTCTAACTGCTCGCCTTCGGCTGCGGGTGTACTGCCTCTGGGCCGCGTAACTTGCGGTACGCAGCCCGGCTAGGTGGGGACGCCACCAGTACACCTGCTTCCGAGGCGGGATAGGTCTCGCCCTCTGCATCGCCGCGTCGCAGACGCGAGTCAGCGCTCCAGCGAGTCGCTCGCATTTCGCGTCCACGTCCAGGCCGCTTTCGACAGCAGCCCATCGCTCGACGATAGCCGCCTCTCGGGCTAGCTCCTGGTCCAGCGTTCCCAGCCGCCACCGCTGACCTTCCCCTATGTTTTGAAGCGGACTGTATATAGGTATTTTGCTGGTCATCTACCTTAAAGGAAACCACGAGTAGAAATTATGCTTGTTTATTGTAGATCGGATGGAACGCAAGTGAATGTTACATTGGTATATTGTCGTTGGCAGCTAAAGGATACACAATGCAGCCAACATAATTAAACTAAGATGTTGTGTTACCAACATATTGGCCAGGGCGACAAATG